CTGGTTCATAATCGCTAAACTGGGTAGGCACACGGGTTTTTCATTCTCTACTTCTAATGATTGCTGACTTTTTTTATAGGTTGGAAAAGCATTTAATATTCCGCCTGGTACAACTGTTGATGTTGGTATAACACATCCAACTGAGTTCGATTTCTACCTCTGTTCACATGCAGGAATTCAGGTTTGTTTTTTGTTTTTACGCTTTGATTTTTTGGATTCTTTGGATTCTTTTGGATTCTTGGGATTTTTTGGATTCTTTGTTTTTACACTTTTAGAGTAACGCAGCATATGTTAGCTTAACTATTTTTTCAAAAACTTTTTTTTTAAAAATACAACATTAATGCGGACAAGCATGGCACGCTGAGAAGTAACATTGTTCTCGGTGCAGGAGGTCAAAGTTTCGGCTAAACCAACGGGAAAACCAATCCCTCTGCGATTCATTGATTGTTTTTGATGTAAATTGGTACTGCTAAATACTGTGAAGTCAAATTTGCCAATATCTTAATTCTCAGTAATCGTTAAGCGGAGAAAACAGTCCTTCCAGTGAGTGAAACTTGCTAACACTCAGTGTTGTAGAAATTTTAAAGATACAAACTGTGAATATTCCTGGCGTAGAGATTGGAAGAGTACGGAGGCCTGAAATCTTCTATATGTTAACATATGCAGTTTGTTTGGCATTACTGGCCCACCAGCGTGGTGGAGAGGAACACAATCGAATTTTGATAATTAATGAAAACACTGGAAGTGCCATTTAGCTCCCCCAAATAAGCAACCTTCTAGGTGCAGTGACTTAATAGCGTGTGTCTGTGTTTCAAGTTGCATTTGGAGTACTTGTATTTATATAAACGCACATTGTTTAGGGCACATCCCGTCCATCACACTATCATGTATTGTGGGATGATAATATGCTCAGTGCGGACGAGCTCCAGCAGTTGACGTATCAAATGTGCCATACGTATGTTCGCTGTACAAGATCTGTATCGATACCGGCACCAGCCTATTATGCTCATCTTGTGGCCTTCAGGGCTCGATATCATCTCGTTGATCGTGAACATGACAGGTGAATCTTTTTTTTTTTTTCTCCGTAAAAGTTGGCAAATTTACCCGCACTAAACATACATAACATGTACTGGCATAGGCGGATCCAGGGCGGACTCCCTAGGGAAGGGGGGGGGGAGGTGAGGGGAGAGCCCCTCCTACACTCGAACTTTGCGAAAACTAGAAATAGAATTGTAACACACTGCTAATTGGAGTTACTTTAGGCTTTAGTATACTTTAGTTTTAGCTTTAGACCCGGATTTTTGCAGTACTGGTGAAAGACCCCTCGCCCTCCTCTCCTCCTGGATTCGCCTAAAACCACAGTAGTTGGGGAGGGGGGGGAGGCGAAAAGAAACAACCAATAATTTTCATTAAAATGAAAATGTGTTGAATGCTACGGCAGAAGGAAAAAAGCTTCGCAATTACACAAACCCAGTGGTAATGTAATTAAATTTATTGCTATAGTTATAGTGGTGAAGGTTCGCAGCCTTCTGGAACAAGCGAAGACACAACACTAAGCAATATGGCTCGAGCTGTGCAGGTTCATCCGGATGCAAACAGCGTTATGTATTTTGCCTGAAATCCATCATCGTCACCACCACCACCACCAGCAAAGAGATGCGCGATCTTATTATTTGTCTTTTCATGCAAATTTTGAATTTATGTAACTTTCGGGAAGAGTAGTGCCTGCCGGGCTGCGGAAAAGCACTCTGGGCAGCTGAGGGAGTGCGCCTAACACACCAAGCAACAAGACACATCCCTTTATTAGTACAATCTCACAAAGAATAATTGGGGAAGAAAAGATAAACAGCTAGCCCGAGATCCCAAGCTGCTACCGGACAAACGCAAGCTGCCGCCGCGCACGTTCAAATTTCACAAGACAAAACAATCACAACAACTGTTTCATTTCCAATCATCACAGTAAATATCACGGAGGAGAGGACTTGAGCCAAAAGGCGGGACATTTACATATTACAGGAAACCGAAGGGCAACCGGACATGGCGAAGGGGTTTAGCCTCCAACTTCGCTTCCCTGTTACTCGCTCCTTCTTCCTTTTACAACACTTATGCAACCATTATTTTCTTGTGCATTTTTTTCTTTCAATTTAGAAAC